CTGGTAATTTTGCTTAGATTTGCTAAATGTTAGGATAAAGCAACTTCGAGAAAAAGTCGAGACACGAGAAAAATCAACAGGATCGCTGGTTGATTTGTGACCATGTTTAGGTGAAAATTATTCAAGTGAAAAAAAAAATGAAATAGCCTTTCAAAAAGTAATGTGTGTGTGCTTTGTGTGTGTTTGTGTTCGAGTTTGTGTGATTGTCACGACATCCGACCGGGATTACTTGACTACTGATTCCCATACAAGAGCCAACACAATAGGTACAATATATACAGTTTATTTACATTATATTAGAAAAAATATAACGCACAACCATCCTCACACAGGGGTTCTCTTTCAGTCCCACTCACACAAAACGATGAATGATATCTACAGATGAATTTCCTATTTATAATATATAATCGCCCTATCAAAGACGGTAGCTTTCCTCCCGAGTTGCGGCTAGTCACACAGTCCACCCAACAACAAGTCACACCAGCTACGGTCACATAGATTTTCCTCCTGTAGGCGGTATCTGGGCACAAAGTCCAGCACAATGTAAGTATGACGATATCTAGCCACACAGATGATCCAGTAGATCGATATGACGTCACCAAGGTGTTCAGATAATTAGCGGTAAGGCTGACGTCATCAGGACATGCAGACAAACCACACAGGAATGTCTGTCATTATAAGATCACACAGACCACAATCAAGTAAGACTGCCGTCATCTGGTCACACAGACCAACCACTCAGGAAGGCATGACGTCATATGACGTTACGTCATCAGGGCAAATAGTCCAGATGATGCAACAGACGAACAGTCACACAGACTGAAGTATATGACGCTATCCGGTCACACAGACCAGATATCCAGTAACACAGACATGACGTCACATGGTACATGCACCCTAGAGTCGAAGCTCATGGTTGGGAAAAGCTACAATATACGTACCACCGCATTACTTCGTTTATCAATATCAATTGTATGTGTTATAGCGGTATTAACTTCATGTACATTTGACAAATAACATTATTATAACCTTTACAATAACCCTGCAGAGAACTGGTTCTATTATCAGAGTAATTATTATAATTTCGGCCTAAAACATATATACAGTCATATCCTTAAGCTAACAATACTTCTGTTTACATTTAACACATTTTACCTGACCGAATACTCACGCATGTACACACAGCCCGTGCACACATAGACTCGAATGCACGTACCTGTAGCCAGGTATAATCCACCTCTTATAATACAAAACATACATACACGAGAAGGCACACTCATAACAATCCCTATTATGGGAGTAATATAAGTTTAAACTTACCGCAAGCTGATATTTGCGCTTCCACCGAACACAAACACAATCCGGTCTACACCCGACAATGTCTGCTCCCAACTGACGATCTTACCTGCTGCGCATACGTTACTCACCTTTAGTTCGCGCCAAATAGCAAGAGCACGTAATATACAAAATACTTACAATGGCATGTGGCAGTGATGCTACCATCTACCTGAATTGTACCATAATGTGTTCAATGTTGTAGATATAATGGATGATCACACAGCCAAGGTAACGAACATGGAAGAACGTGTAAAGATCATCTCGAAAACTATGGAAACGAAATCAGGTTTGTTAATTTCAGAAAAAAAATATACCTTTGAAATGACGTTAATATATAAAGACGTGTCACAGAATATCACAGACGTGAATATCGTACTGAATTGTCAGAAATATATCGTTATTTCATTTCAAACAAAACCCACAAAGATGTAGTGAGATTTAAAACAGAACAGGACACAGTGAACAGAGGTCTTAGAGAACAACTCCATACTGTTCAAGGTAATCATTAGTAACAACGAAAACATGATATGTCAGATTTTCATTCCTCTGGTTATTTTGCTTACGTTTGCTAAATGTTAGGATAAAGCAATTTCGAGAAAAAGTCGAGACACGTGAACATTCAACGTGATCGCTGATTAATTTGTGCCAAAAAGTAATGTGTGTGTGCTTTGTGTGTGTTTGTGTTCGAGTTTGTGTGATGCTACCATCTACCTGAATTGTAACATAATGTGTTCAATGTTGTAGATATAATGGATGATCACACAGCCAAGGTAACGAACATGGGAGAACAACTCCAAACCATTCAAGGTAATCATTAGTAACAATGAAAACACAATATGTCAGTATTTGAGTCCTCTGGTAATTTTGCTTAGATTTGCTAAATGTTAGGATAAAGCAACTTCGAGAAAAAGTCGAGACACGAGAAAAATCAACAGGATCGCTGGTTGATTTGTGACCATGTTTAGGTGAAAATTATTCAAGTGAAAAAAAAAAAAAAATGAAATAGCCTTTCAAAAAGTAATGTGTGTGTGCTTTGTGTGTGTATGTGTTCGAGTTTGTGTGATTGTCACGACATCCGACCGGGATTACTTGACTACTGATTCCCATACAAGAGCCAACACAATAGGTACAATATATACAGTTTATTTACATTATATTAGAAAAAATATAACGCACAACCATCCTCACACAGGGGTTCTCTTTCAGTCCCACTCACACAAAACGATGAATGATATCTACAGATGAATTTCCTATTTATAATATATAATCGCCCTATCAAAGACGGTAGCTTTCCTCCCGAGTTGCGGCTAGTCACACAGTCCACCCAACAACAAGTCACACCAGCTACGGTCACATAGATTTTCCTCCTGTAGGCGGTATCTGGGCACAAAGTCCAGCACAATGTAAGTATGACGATATCTAGCCACACAGATGATCCAGTAGATCGATATGACGTCACCAAGGTGTTCAGATAATTAGCGGTAAGGCTGACGTCATCAGGACATGCAGACAAACCACACAGGAATGTCTGTCATTATAAGATCACACAGACCACAATCAAGTAAGACTGCCGTCATCTGGTCACACAGACCAACCACTCAGGAAGGCATGACGTCATATGACGTTACGTCATCAGGGCAAATAGTCCAGATGATGCAACAGACGAACAGTCACACAGACTGAAGTATATGACGCTATCCGGTCACACAGACCAGATATCCAGTAACACAGACATGACGTCACATGGTACATGCACCCTAGAGTCGAAGCTCATGGTTGGGAAAAGCTACAATATACGTACCACCGCATTACTTCGTTTATCAATATCAATTGTATGTGTTATAGCGGTATTAACTTCATGTACATTTGACAAATAACATTATTATAACCTTTACAATAACCCTGCAGAGAACTGGTTCTATTATCAGAGTAATTATTATAATTTCGGCCTAAAACATATATACAGTCATATCCTTAAGCTAACAATACTTCTGTTTACATTTAACACATTTTACCTGACCGAATACTCACGCATGTACACACAGCCCGTGCACACATAGACTCGAATGCACGTACCTGTAGCCAGGTATAATCCACCTCTTATAATACAAAACATACATACACGAGAAGGCACACTCATAACAATCCCTATTATGGGAGTAATATAAGTTTAAACTTACCGCAAGCTGATATTTGCGCTTCCACCGAACACAAACACAATCCGGTCTACACCCGACAATGTCTGCTCCCAACTGACGATCTTACCTGCTGCGCATACGTTACTCACCTTTAGTTCGCGCCAAATAGCAAGAGCACGTAATATACAAAATACTTACAATGGCATGTGGCAGTGATGCTACCATCTACCTGAATTGTACCATAATGTGTTCAATGTTGTAGATATAATGGATGATCACACAGCCAAGGTAACGAACATGGAAGAACGTGTAAAGATCATCTCGAAAACTATGGAAACGAAATCAGGTTTGTTAATTTCAGAAAAAAAATATACCTTTGAAATGACGTTAATATATAAAGACGTGTCACAGAATATCACAGACGTGAATATCGTACTGAATTGTCAGAAATATATCGTTATTTCATTTCAAACAAAACCCACAAAGATGTAGTGAGATTTAAAACAGAACAGGACACAGTGAACAGAGGTCTTAGAGAACAACTCCATACTGTTCAAGGTAATCATTAGTAACAACGAAAACATGATATGTCAGATTTTCATTCCTCTGGTTATTTTGCTTACATTTGCTAAATGTTAGGATAAAGCAATTTCGAGAAAAAGTCGAGACACGTGAACATTCAACGTGATCGCTGATTAATTTGTGCCAAAAAGTAATGTGTGTGTGCTTTGTGTGTGTTTGTGTTCGAGTTTGTGTGATGCTACCATCTACCTGAATTGTAACATAATGTGTTCAATGTTGTAGATATAATGGATGATCACACAGCCAAGGTAACGAACATGGGAGAACAACTCCATACCGTTCAAGGTAATCATTAGTAACAATGAAAACACAATATGTCAGTATTTGAGTCCTCTGGTAATTTTGCTTAGACTAAATGTTAGGAAAAGCAACTTCGAGAAAAATCAACGGGATCGCTGATTGATTTGTGACCATGTTTAGGTGAAAATTATTCAAGTGAAAAAAAAAATGAAATAGCCTTTCAAAAAGTTATGTGTGTGCTTTGTGTGTGTTTGTGTTCGAGTTTGTGTGATGCTACCATCTACCTGAATTGTAACATAATGTGTTCAATGTTGTAGATATAATGGATGATCACACAGCCAAGGTAACGAACATGGGAGAACAACTCCAAACCATTCAAGGTAATCATTAGTAACAATGAAAACACAATATGTCAGTATTTGAGTCCTCTGGTAATTTTGCTTAGATTTGCTAAATGTTAGGATAAAGCAACTTCGAGAAAAAGTCGAGACACGAGAAAAATCAACAGGATCGCTGGTTGATTTGTGACCATGTTTAGGTGAAAATTATTCAAGTGAAAAAAAAAAAAAAAAATGAAATAGCCTTTCAAAAAGTAATGTGTGTGTGCTTTGTGTGTGTATGTGTTCGAGTTTGTGTGATTGTCACGACATCCGACCGGGATTACTTGACTACTGATTCCCATACAAGAGCCAACACAATAGGTACAATATATACAGTTTATTTACATTATATTAGAAAAAATATAACGCACAACCATCCTCACACAGGGGTTCTCTTTCAGTCCCACTCACACAAAACGATGAATGATATCTACAGATGAATTTCCTATTTATAATATATAATCGCCCTATCAAAGACGGTAGCTTTCCTCCCGAGTTGCGGCTAGTCACACAGTCCACCCAACAACAAGTCACACCAGCTACGGTCACATAGATTTTCCTCCTGTAGGCGGTATCTGGGCACAAAGTCCAGCACAATGTAAGTATGACGATATCTAGCCACACAGATGATCCAGTAGATCGATATGACGTCACCAAGGTGTTCAGATAATTAGCGGTAAGGCTGACGTCATCAGGACATGCAGACAAACCACACAGGAATGTCTGTCATTATAAGATCACACAGACCACAATCAAGTAAGACTGCCGTCATCTGGTCACACAGACCAACCACTCAGGAAGGCATGACGTCATATGACGTTACGTCATCAGGGCAAATAGTCCAGATGATGCAACAGACGAACAGTCACACAGACTGAAGTATATGACGCTATCCGGTCACACAGACCAGATATCCAGTAACACAGACATGACGTCACATGGTACATGCACCCTAGAGTCGAAGCTCATGGTTGGGAAAAGCTACAATATACGTACCACCGCATTACTTCGTTTATCAATATCAATTGTATGTGTTATAGCGGTATTAACTTCATGTACATTTGACAAATAACATTATTATAACCTTTACAATAACCCTGCAGAGAACTGGTTCTATTATCAGAGTAATTATTATAATTTCGGCCTAAAACATATATACAGTCATATCCTTAAGCTAACAATACTTCTGTTTACATTTAACACATTTTACCTGACCGAATACCGAATACTCACGCATGTACACACAGCCCGTGCACACATAGACTCGAATGCACGTACCTGTAGCCAGGTATAATCCACCTCTTATAATACAAAACATACATACACGAGAAGGCACACTCATAACAATCCCTATTATGGGAGTAATATAAGTTTAAACTTACCGCAAGCTGATATTTGCGCTTCCACCGAACACAAACACAATCCGGTCTACACCCGACAATGTCTGCTCCCAACTGACGATCTTACCTGCTGCGCATACGTTACTCACCTTTAGTTCGCGCCAAATAGCAAGAGCACGTAATATACAAAATACTTACAATGGCATGTGGCAGTGATGCTACCATCTACCTGAATTGTACCATAATGTGTTCAATGTTGTAGATATAATGGATGATCACACAGCCAAGGTAACGAACATGGAAGAACGTGTAAAGATCATCTCGAAAACTATGGAAACGAAATCAGGTTTGTTAATTTCAGAAAAAAATATACCTTTGAAATGACGTTAATATATAAAGACGTGTCACAGAATATCACAGACGTGAATATCGTACTGAATTGTCAGAAATATATCGTTATTTCATTTCAAACAAAACCCACAAAGATGTAGTGAGATTTAAAACAGAACAGGACACAGTGAACAGAGGTCTTAGAGAACAACTCCATACTGTTCAAGGTAATCATTAGTAACAACGAAAACATGATATGTCAGATTTTCATTCCTCTGGTTATTTTGCTTACATTTGCTAAATGTTAGGATAAAGCAATTTCGAGAAAAAGTCGAGACACGTGAACATTCAACGTGATCGCTGATTAATTTGTGCCAAAAAGTAATGTGTGTGTGCTTTGTGTGTGTTTGTGTTCGAGTTTGTGTGATGCTACCATCTACCTGAATTGTAACATAATGTGTTCAATGTTGTAGATATAATGGATGATCACACAGCCAAGGTAACGAACATGGGAGAACAACTCCAAACCATTCAAGGTAATCATTAGTAACAATGAAAACACAATATGTCAGTATTTGAGTCCTCTGGTAATTTTGCTTAGATTTGCTAAATGTTAGGATAAAGCAACTTCGAGAAAAAGTCGAGACACGAGAAAAATCAACAGGATCGCTGATTGATTTGTGACCATGTTTAGGTGAAAATTATTCAAGTGAAAAAAAAAAAAAATGAAATAGCCTTTCAAAAAGTTATGTGTGTGTGCTTTGTGTGTTTTTGTGTTCGAGTTTGTGTGATTGTCACGACATCCGACCGGGATTACTTGACTACTGATTCCCATACAAGAGCCAACACAATAGGTACAATATATACAGTTTATTTACATTATATTAGAAAAAATATAACGCACAACCATCCTCACACAGGGGTTCTCTTTCAGTCCCACTCACACAAAACGATGAATGATATCTACAGATGAATTTCCTATTTATAATATATAATCGCCCTATCAAAGACGGTAGCTTTCCTCCCGAGTTGCGGCTAGTCACACAGTCCACCCAACAACATGTCACACCAGCTACGGTCACATAGATTTTCCTCCTGTAGGCGGTATCTGGGCACAAAGTCCAGCACAATGTAAGTATGACGATATCTAGCCACACAGATGATCCAGTAGATCGATATGACGTCACCAAGGTGTTCAGATAATTAGCGGTAAGGCTGACGTCATCAGGACATGCAGACAAACCACACAGGAATGTCTGTCATTATAAGATCACACAGACCACAATCAAGTAAGACTGCCGTCATCTGGTCACACAGACCAACCACTCAGGAAGGCATGACGTCATATGACGTTACGTCATCAGGGCAAATAGTCCAGATGATGCAACAGACGAACAGTCACACAGACTGAAGTATATGACGCTATCCGGTCACACAGACCAGATATCCAGTAACACAGACATGACGTCACATGGTACATGCACCCTAGAGTCGAAGCTCATGGTTGGGAAAAGCTACAATATACGTACCACCACATTACTTCGTTTATCAATATCAATTGTATGTGTTATAGCGGTATTAACTTCATGTACATTTGACAAATAACATTATTATAACCTTTACAATAACCCTGCAGAGAACTGGTTCTATTATCAGAGTAATTACTATAATTTCGGCCTAAAACATATATACAGTCATATCCTTAAGCTAACAATACTTCTGTTTACATTTAACACATTTTACCTGACCGAATACTCACGCATGTACACACAGCCCGTGCACACATAGACTCGAATGCACGTACCTGTAGCCAGGTATAATCCACCTCTTATAATACAAAACATACATACACGAGAAGGTACACTCATAACAATCACTATTATGGGAGTAATATAAGTTTAAACTTACCGCAAGCTGATATTTGCGCTTCCACCGAACACAAACACAATCCGGTCTACACCCGACAATGTCTGCTCCCAACTGACGATCTTACCTGCTGCGCATGCGTTACTCACCTTTAGTTCGCGCCAAATAGCAAGAGCACGTAATATACAAAATACTTACAATGGCATGTGGCAGTGATGCTACCATTTACCTGAATTGTACCATAATGTGTTCAATGTTGTAGATATAATGGATGATCACACAGCCAAGGTAACGAACATGGAAGAACGTGTAAAGATCATCTCGAAAACTATGGAAACGAAATCAGGTTTGTTAATTTCAGAAAAAAATATACCTTTGAAATGACGTTAATATATCAAGACGTGTCACAGAATATCACAGACGTGAATATCGTACTGTATTGTCAGAAATATATCGTTATTTCATTTCAAACAAAACCCACAAAGATGTAGTGAGATTTAAAACAGAACAGGACACAGTGAATAGAGGTCTTGGAGAACAACTCCATACTGTTCAAGGTAATCATTAGTAACAACGAAAACATGATATGTCAGTTTTTCATTCCTCTGGTAATTTTGCTTACATTTGCTAAATGTTAGGATAAATCAATTTCGAGAAAAAGTCGAGACAGGTGAACATTTAACGTTATCACTGATTAATTTGTAACCATGCTTAGGTGAAAATTACTGAATCGAAAAAAAGGAATTTGAAATAACCCTTCGGAAAGTAATGTGTGTGTACTTTTTGCGTGTTTGTATGTGTTCAGTGTTTGTCAATATTATGAGGCAAAACATTCAAAACCGACCGCAAATTTTATATTGTAAAATGTCAAAGGTTGAAAATGAATAAGATAATGTATTAATTCAACATTTCATTCAAAAATTGAATTAAATGCATTTCAAACAAAAAGATTTAAGTGTAATTTTGATAAGAGAGACACATCCTTCCGAAGGTATCACTGGTGATATTTTCATAATAATTTTAGTCAACGATACATTAGTAATTGTTCTGCATGAAGTTGCCTTATGACGTTTTACTTTTTAATATAAGATTTAAGCATAGAAAAGGGAAGTTAGGATCATGCCGACATATTGACGATGTCTTAATTAAAACTAACAGGCTATTTCTTGTTCCCAATATTTTGGAAATTTTTTACTGAGTTTCATTGCGCGATATAGTGTTCCTAATGTTACGTTATGCCTCTACACTCTTGGAAACAGAATATATAAGTATATTGGCGTAATAAGCTCTTTCTTGTCAAATGGTTCATCAGACCAAAGGTTTTATCAAATAAATCCATATTTAGCATTAGAAGCATGGTTCTATATCATAGCGAAAGCTCATCCGCTAAGGACAGCCTTACGGTGAAAGAAAGATGGTTGGTTGGTTGGTAGGTATCATCTCGACGACGAAGTGCTTATCCTAACTCTAGCTATTGAAACCGGTGCAGAAGCTGAAAGGCAGAGTCAGGAGCTTATGTAGATTTGGATTGTGTTAGGGTAATTATGAGGTCCGTTTGATACCTAAAACTTAATTGTTGCATTGTGACGCTATTTCTTGACCTCGCACAAGCCACCGTTTAAGGTACCATCTGCCAAACTAAAGTAAGAGGTTAGTTCGATGCAGGTTAAATTATAATTAGCACTTTTTGTTGGTGTCCAGTCTTGGAAACCATTCTAAGATTATTGTCTAATAAGCTTCTTTATCACTTTACAAATGTTTATTGCTTTCCTGATTCCACTCCATTCCTTCAGCCTACATCTATTCACTATATACGTGATTTATGTGAATGTGCTGATTTAGAAAGGTTATGAGAGGTTTCTACATTGAAGTAGATAATGTTATAATAGACTGAGATTATTAAAGATAGATTTAAGGTTTTGTTTCCTTGTGCATGCATGGGTAGGATGGGTGGATTATGGTTTAGGCTATGTTTTAAGTAGGAGTAATGTGTTAATTCTAACTGGTTACATTTGAGTATAGATAGTGAGGGATTAAGTTGTCTAATCTAATCTATATGCGATACATCCCACGGTTGTGTAGAAGTACTTTTTATATAGGGTCTGAGAACGGGTCTTGTATGATGTTTAGTTGGTTTGCATGTTTGTTGGTTGTATTATATTTATGATTGTCTGTTGAGATAATTGTGTGCGATTCTGGATTTAGAGATTGCTGGAAACGGTGTTGTTTGCTTTTAGAAAAGCGAGTGCTCGTACGTTTTTACAGGAAAGCTGTGGCATTGTGGTGTAAGCGTCTTTTTTAATATTGTGTATGCATCAAGAAGGACAACGCACTTGTGCACATATTACGACGTTGGATAAACCAGTTATTACTATTGTGCTGAACATCAAGCTAGTAGTACTTTCCGCCAATCATTACGAGATGCAGGGTTCTTCAAATTTCTCTCTCCCTGATTTCATGCGTCGTCCGGTAATATATTTTCTTAATGCTCTTCCTTGTGAGATGCAGGATGGATCTTCTGCAAATTTAATACACATGCTTCCCTTAGCCCCTAGTCATGTCCAGTGGAAAGTTGTTATCGCTATTTCCTGAGAAGTGTAAGCTGTATTTATCTCTTGGTATCTAGCGGTATCCTTTAAATTTTCCGACTTATCAACACATCAATGATAGGTCCTGAGATGTTGTCGATAGCTACCTCTCTAATTGTATATGTACATGTTTATAACTACAAGATTCCCTACTAAAATGTGGCGCTTGAAGTTTGAAACTCATCAAAACAAAATTGCTGAGAAGTCTGCATCTTGTTTGTAAAGGGTTGTAGTTATTTTTCATCGATATTTTCCTCATACCTAAACGTACTTATCTAAAAATCCATTTGTGGGTTATGGTGGGTCCTGTCATTTGTACTCTAGA